TTAACACTTTACCGAACAGTAGCAAAGGAACATACAATTAAGTTCAATAATATTTTTTATTTTAACAGCGTTAGTATTATTTAATATTTATTTTATGTGTTAGAACCGTTTTGTAGTTAACATTTATATAATATTTCATAATTCATATAATTACGGGAGAATAGAATGATATTTTAATAATAGATAAAGAAGTATTGGTTATCTTAGGAAAAAGTCTATTGACAGACTACCGGTCGGTGAAGTGTTAAATGTCAATCAAATATTCGAATATTAAATTCATAGAACAATTTCGATTACCTACGGGTCAGAGCTTTACAGGTGTCTACCTTAGCAACAGATGGTAGCCATGTCTGACTGGTGCTGTCTGTTATTACTTGCTCTCAAACTCGCGACTCGACTTTACCGGTAATTGTCGCTGATACAGCTACCATTAGTGATCTAGAAAAAGGAAAAAGTACAGACCTCGTCGCAAGCCGCGCATCTAGGCTTCAGCTGTTCGGCGTAATGCCTCTCGCAGAATAGGGTGTCGTTGTGCACGCAATAGGCGAGATCGACCAAAAGCTCCGTGCACTCGAAGCACTGAAAGCACGTCGGATGGTAAAGAAGACCCAGCTTACTCGCTGACACGGCCAGGCTGCCGTATTTCAGGGGCATGTGGCACGCTCCGCAATTCTTTAAAAAAAAAAAAAGATAGAACCCGATGCATGAAAATGAAATCGCACTTTATCTCTTTTAACTCTAATTTCTTGAAACCTACGATATCTCTCTCGAGCACCTCCTGCACGTTTCCAATGTCCAGCGCGATCTCGTTTCTCGCGGCCATAAAATCGTCAGCGCTGCTGGCGTGGTTCGGATTCAAGTGGCGACAGTAGGCTCTGGCTAAGTCCTGCTTAGGCAGCTGAATCGCCAATTGTCGGTCCCTGTATCTTTCTCCGGGCGTGCCCAATCGCGGCACAGAGATCTCTGGCAGCATGGAAAAGTACTCCTCCACCTGCAACAAGGAAATCCGAGCTGGATGTAGTACGCTTAACCAGACGAATTACACAACGTCGTTTTGGGGTCGTGTTTGGGTTAATTCTCTTCGGAAAACCGTCGGGAATTCATTGATAATGTTTTTGTGAAAATGCGAGTGGAATTATACGAATATTTTTCTGGAATAAATGTAAACATGAAAGGGGGATGATTACGTGGAAAAAATGTCACCGTATCGCGCGGGCAAAACGTCACGATAAAAATATCGTTAACACGAGTGGGCCGCGGCCTCAGGAAGCGTCGAACGATAAAGCATCCGCTGTCATGTTGATAAAGACCAGCCTCGGACCGCTAATTTACGCCATGGGCATTGGAAAATATTGAAAACTGGAATCGTGCCAAGCACCGCGTGTATACCGGCTACTTAACCGTGAACGCATAACGACTCGTTCCGATAACCGTATAATATCTCATTAGAACCTGATTCATATCGATTCGGCGATTGTTGAATTCAACGTCGCGATCATTTATTGAATTTTCGCGGTCGAATCAAATAAAGATCCGGGCAAGACGGAGCCAGGAAGTGAAATCTCAGGCTTAACATATTGAATTGTAGCACATTGAATTACAACAATTTATGTTGTCTCTAAAGTATTAAAGATTTTTGAAATGTCTATGTATTTTCATGAAAGTATCACTAATAAAGAGCTAGCGTTTCCCTGATGAAAATGAATCCAAACACGACCTAAATCGGATCACTGTTAATTATAAGCGTTTCATAG